CCTGGAGTCCTGTGTCCAGTTCTGGGCTCCCCAGTCCAAGAGAGACATGGCACTGCTGGAGAGAGTCCAGCGGAGGGCTACAAAGATGACTAAGGGACTGGAGCATCTCTCCTCTGAAGAAAGTCTGCAAGAGCTGGGCCTGTTCAGCCTGGAGAAGAGAAGATTGAGCGGCGATGTGATCAAACTATCCAAGTATCTGAAGGGAGGGTGTCAAAAGGATGGGGCCAGATTCTTGTGGTGCCCGGTGACAGGACAAGAGGCAACGGGAACACAGGCAGTTCCACCTGAACCTGAGAAAAAACTTCTTCACTGTGAGGGTGACAGAGCATTGGAACAGGTTGCCCAGAGAGGTAGTGGAGTCTCCTTCGCTGGAGATATTCAAAACCCGTCTGGATGTGATCCTGGGCAATATGCTCTAGAGGACCGTGCTTGAGCAGGGAGGTTGGACTAGATGATCTCCAGAGGTCCCTTCCAACCTCAACCATTCTGTGATTCTGTGAGTAGGGAGTTAATATTCTTGAACTATGTAAAGATATCTGCAAAGAGGAAGGGACTAACATATCTCCAACTGCACTGACATTGACCACATTAGGAAAATATTTCTAGTAATTCAAATACAGAAGTACTGAAATAAATTGCCTGAGACTAGAGGGTTTCGACCTTTGAAAATCTTTGAAAATGGGTTGGATACACATCAGTTAGGAATGACTGTTGGACTGAAGGAGAAAAATGATTTCTGGGTAGACATCTGTTCTAAGCCTGTGACTCGGTGATTGCTTGTGCTGTTGAACAATCTTGTAACCGAAAGCAGCGTGTTTCTTTTATCTTTATTTAGACAGATTGTTTTATAGGTCTTCTAAGAAAATACTTATTGCAGCACTAATGAAGCATCTGTTTATCAGTATGCAACAGTTCTATTCCGCAACAGTCTTGGAAAGGAACTGAAAAATATTTCGTTTGGACTAAACCTGAGAGGAAATAAGCACAATGCAATTATGCACTCTGAAGTAGGCCAATCTTCTGTTTCACACACTTTCCTTTGTGAAAAATGATGAACATTGATGCTTTAGTTGCTGGGTTTTTACATCTACCAAAACAACTTAAGGAGCGTATAGTGTTTGTGTCACTGGGTTAGTAAACAGAGAGAGAGGATCAGTTTATTGAGTCTTCCATACAACTACTTTTGAATGCCTGTCATCCAAATACTGGCCAACTTTTTCATTAGTCTAGATAAATTAAGTTTGAGTTGAAAACTTCATAGTTTTTTCCAATTTAGAAAAGGGAGGGGATTGCAGGGGACTATTTTGAAGTTTTGTTGTATATATTTTGAAAAGTGCGTGTCCAGTTACAGCAGTTTTTCAAAAATCTTTTCATACTAAATACATGATAGTTAATCTGATTCAGCTGGCTGAAGCTATTGTGTTAAATTAGGGTTAACCTGGCATTAAACACAAATTGGGAAAAGCTATAGCACTTGAAAACCTATGAGAGAAAACAAGGTATAGCACTTGAAAACCTGTGAGAGAAAACAGATCTAGGACTTGCAAGAGAAAAACAGGAGGGGAGGAAGACAACTATGCTGTGATTTTTTTTTTTTTTTTGCTGATAAATTGCAAGCTCATCATGGGATCTGAAAATTGATCTTTTCTGTTGGTTTTCTACATCAGAACTAAAAAAAAATCACATGAAGTAAGTATTCTAGGATGAGATTTTAGCTGGCTATCATAAAGATGATGTCTGAAGCTTTTCTGTCATGCTGCAGTAGTTAAAAATAATTTTTATTATAAATAAGACAGATTTTGATAACAGATTCCAATCTGTCAGGTTTTAACATGTACAATTTCCATTGGCCTCCTGGGAGATGTATTACAAAAAACATACAGCGTGAAGGATGAGATCCATATAAAACTTAGAGTCATCTTTTGGCTCTTACTACACCTTCATTTCTTTTTGGCAGCCTTAGAATTTCAAGTATCAGAACTTGCTAACAAGTAGGAAATGGATATAATGTTTAATAAATTCATTAATTACTTTTCACTGTCTATACTTTTTGAAAGTTAAAAACATTTTATTATACCGTAGCAGCTCAGAGAAGAAATTGTATCTGAAGTAGCTGGTAAAACTTGGATGTACATTTAGATTATTCTTTACATAAAACTCTACTGTGATTCTTTACTGCAAGATTCAATACAGACTTAGGGCTGGAGGGGCAAATTACAGCAAATATGTCACAGAAAATCACAAAACTACTAGGGAAGGCTAGTGTGTAATTTACGTAGCATGGCTGAAGCAGAAAGAATAGGGATACTATTCGTGCCCCTTACTGGAAGGCAACCTCCTCCTGCTTCCCCTGGCTAGCGTAGAGGAGATGCCTAAAAAGGCAGCGCTACCTCTTCCTCGCTGCTGCCTGCCACT